ATGTGAATAATATTCTCACATAATTGCAAACACATTTTTCATTCCGTACAACTTTCAAAAGATATTGCTCAAGGAAGCCCCTAATGCAAGCTTTGTTCAGAGGAAAAACCATATTTAAAATTAAAAAAAAAAGAAGTAAACCCTAAACAGAGAAACAGCATGGGAACGTTTTTAAGAGTGGAAATGTGTAAAAATATGTATTAAAAAAAAAGGTTCAGATATTGATCCAAATAAACAGGAGATTTAAAAGAAATCACAAAAACAGTGTGAAAATACAGACAATTCAGTACTTGACCCTGATGTAACTGAGTAGCATTGTAGGGGGGAAATTCGTATCTTACTCCAGGACAAATTCCAAATGGATAAAAAAATTTGAAGACAATGAAAACTACTCAAGCGCTTGAAGAAAAACAGGACGCCCTCTTAATGATCTTGGAGTACAGTTGCCCTTTCCAACCAGGAGTCAAATCCAAAAGCCATGAAAGAAAATACCGATAAATTCAACAACATGAAAATAAAACTTCTGTGGCAAAAGCCACCCCAAGCAAGTCAAAAAACAAATGAGAAAGTGGGAAAAAAATATTTGCAACTCATAGTACTAATAAAGATCTTACCTTCCTAATACAAAAGGGCTTTTTCAAATTGAGGGAGGGAAAAGGACTAAAAGTCCAATAGAAAATCTTAAAAGAAATAAACAATGAAAACATGAAATACCATTTTTCTCTAATCACTCACCAAAAAATTCTAAAAGACTGAGAACACCAAATGGACAATAAACATTCTCCTATATGGCTGGTGGAAGCATAAATGAGTGCAATCTGTAAGTTAGTGCCAAGGCAGGGCATTTTTGGCAATAGCTGCTCTCATTACTAATGACTCTATCTTTCACTGGCAGATTCTACATTTCTGAGTATACTTGTTAAGCAACCACACATAAGGTTGTTCCGTGCAGAACCGTTTATTAAAAACAACCCAAAAGTCAAATAAATCAGGGTACATCCATGCAGTGTAATACTCTACAGCTTTTTGAAAAAAACAAAAGTGAAAGGATTTGCATACTGATACAAAAAGAGCTGCAGGAAATTAGCAGGAATAAAGTGAAGGCTCAACGGTGTGCTCAGAACTTCAGCTTTTGCTCAAAAAGAGACAAGCTTGTATTGAGATCTGCTGGTATGTCCTAAAAAGCCTGCGTACACACACATGACTGATAATAACTTCCAGGGTGTGGTCAACGATCGTTGGGAACTAAGCAGATGTGGGAACAGGATGGAGAGACATTTCAATGTTCGGATTCCTTGATTTTTTCAATAACGTACATATTGCCTATTCAAATATTAAATGTAAATTAACATGTTTACCTAATCTAAGCCTAGGAGATGATTACATTTCCTTCTGGTTCTCTCTCTCTCTAATGGCACATTTTCTGTAAGTGCACATTGTGCTAGGAATTTAAAATTAATTAGGTTTGGTTGAAATGTATCATTGAAAGAGTAAATTGCAAAAATCATTTTAATGGTATACTTGACTTTTCTTCGTCAGTGTAGGCTTTCTTTTTGTACAGCTCTGTCCTTATGTCTCCACTTCAAATAAACTCATTCCATTTTGCTTAGAAATATGTGAGAACGTTCACCGATCAAGGAGCCTAACCTTGTCACTGAAGAGTTTTAATCAATTTGAAGCTTTCATAAGCATATAAGCATGTTAAATTTTTTTTAATGTTAAACTTTACATTTTTTATCACGTGCATGAAGTTTCACTGAAGAAGTTAATTGGCCATCTGCATTTCTTATCCACTTTTCCTCCTTCTTAAGTGAAATATAATATCTTAGTTTTACCCTAAGATTAAAAATCATTGCTTGAAGTGGTAAGAAATTGTCTTCAGCACATGCAAGGATATTTTCCTGCCTGTGTGAGATCATCACCAAACTACGCCATCCTCCTTTTAGAGACCTTTTGGCTCTTTAGCTTTAAATACATGAATTCTTTTTTTTTTTTAACTTGACACAATTAAGATTTTTATCCCAGTTCATTCCAAACACAATTTAAACTTCAAGCACTCCCTTTAAAAAAGGCTTGTTCCTCCTCCCAACCCTGGTTAGTGGCCCTCAACCCACCTTGTAGGTATCTTTTGAAACACTTCCCATAATTATTAAGTAATTAGTTGCATCATTTGTTGTTTCACGTTTTGTCTCCCTGATCGAATACAAGGATCTGAACCAAATCTCCCGTATTGGCCACAGCGTATTCCCAAGGCCCCAAGAAAGTGTAACAAAGGGCCTTGTACAAAGTAGATTCTCAATTTCTACTTGTTGAGTAAGTGAACAAATGAAATGTCTTTGTTTCTTCCCAACATCCCTTCATCTTCTAGAAATCTAAGCTCCTAGATGTTAGAGAGTGCTTCAGAGGAGTTGGTTAAGTGTAGTTACAGCACAGCACAAAACCAAATTCTATACCTGATTAATTTATTATGAATATAACAAAGCAGTCATTTATCTGTGGCAGCACTAATGTTGACAGACCCAGGAACTCAACATCCTTGAAATAACAGAACGTGGCTGGCTTGGTTAGAAATAATGCTGAAAATTTCGAAATATATTTTGCACCAATAATCCTGACCACTAGCATTTCTTACATTTTACTAAGACTATCAACTACAGCTGTGAGGGGTTGGTTACCTATTCCCCAGGGTGGGTTCTAGATAGAATCCTGTGGACCTCCAGCAGGCAGTTTTTTTCTGAAAGACCCACAAAACTGAGCCAGCACTGGATATTAAAAATATTTACAGGATGTACAAATGGAAAGTATATCTTCCATTCAAAATGGTTTAATTTTCCTTGGGTTGTTATAATGACAATTTCTTTAACCTGATATGATAACAGATTTTTAAAATGTAATCATGTATTTATTTTATGGTTTGCACAAGATGTACCTTTAGTGCATCCAGATTTTCATAATCCATCAAACAGTTTTTCAGTATGTGTTATGGCAGGATATTCTAGAACTGCCAAGAAAAGTAAATTCACAGAGCTGCCTGCAACTCACTAACTATAACAAATTAGCATAAGCAGCCCCATTTTAGAAGGAATGGCTTTTACAAGTTACACAGAAAAATAATGTGATTTTGCATTTTTATCATTAAAAACTGTCCGTGTTGTATATGGTTTTATCATGAATATTAAACACAGCCCAGACCGTTTAACACAGCCAGTTAGGCTCTGTGAAGTGGAACTCCTTAATGAAACAGAACTGGTTATGATCTTAAGAATAACTAGGAAAACTAGCTTAAAAGTACCTATTTTTACGGATTTCTTTCTACTTTAAAAAAAGCATATTGAATAAAACCTCTCAACACTTGTCAGCTCTCCTGTGAACATACCATATAAATGGACTGGCACCGACTGCCAGGAAAAACGAAAGGCCAAATTACTCTCTTCCACCCATGCTGTGAAGTTCAGAAAGAAATCTGTCCTAGACCCGTACCATACAGATAGCAGACAATGAGCCATTTAGAAGGAACTGAAGGATGGATAAAATTCCTCAGATTTCTCCACACAATAGCAGAGATCTTATTTTCTTAGTCACCCTCTCAAGTTTAAATGCCTCTGGCTGGTTGCTCACAGCACAAAACAAAGGTGCATGTTTTCAAATGTCTAATTTGCTTAAGCTCTGAGAATTCCAGCAAAAAAAAAAAATTAATAGCTGCAGAAGGCAAAGGAAGGTAGGGTCACAGGCTTACCTAATTACAAATGTATCCACAGTGCGATCGGCTGCCAGTGCAAATATGGAGGAGGGATCACTAGTACCCAGATAAATTCAGAACTGAAAAGTGTTGGAGTCCGTTTTGTACACTGTTCTGGTAAACATGGAACCATTAGGTCACAGTTGATAGCCACCCTAAGAGTATTTTCTTTATACAAAACTTAAGACGCCAGCTCCTGAATTTTGTAAATGCAGCAGTTCATAACGCAGGACCATCCTTTCAACCCCTCCATCCTGAAGTGGGAAAAGGGTTGAAAAGCCTGTTAGGACCAGCCTGCGTTAGAAGGGGTGGGAGCCTGTGAGGGACAGGGGAGCGATGCAAACTAAGTAAGGTTTAAAGAGAAATTAGGAGACACCTGCCCTGCCGCTGACCACCGCCAAACGACCCGCTTCCCAGCGGGACTCTCGACTTCAATTTGGCTGTTCGTTCTTTCTTCCTCAAACTCAAAACATCAAACTCACCCTTCACTTTCCTTTTCCCAAAGTGCTCTTCCACCTATGGGTCCCTGTTGACGTGAAAACACCTAACGGCCAGTCCCGGAAACCTGGGAGCGGCCCGGTTCCAGCCCCTCCCAGTCAGTCATCCAGTCCTGCGGAGTCTACTTCTGAAATAGCTTCAGAGAGGTTCCCATTTCTTCCATCCCTCCAACGGCCAACAGCCTCCTAAATTATCTCCCCCCTCCACCCGTCCCCGGCTCCAAGTGATTTAAGACTGATTATACCTCCCCCAAATTCACACCTGGCTTTCAGAGTCGTCATACTTTTTCTCATCTTATTTCAACTCCAGTTTATCTCCGTGGCTTTATCTGGAGCCTCTCCCGCACACAAACACCAACACGCTTTGCTTTTTGGTTGCCAAGAGCAGAGTGCTGGATCAAAACCGAAAACCTTTGTGTTTTTCCTTTTTCCCTTGCCAGGAATACTTTCCTTCTCTGTTGCTTGATGAGCACCACGTCATCATCCCTTTTGCCTCAGCGTGGAAAGCCCTTCCTTCGGGAAGACTTTCTCACCTCCAATGTCAGGGAGCTACTGTGGCCCCGAGCTCCTCTTCCTCCCAGCACTTGGGCTGAACGGGGCTGTTTCCTCGATGGAGCTCCTGTGAGCTGGGCTCATTGTTCACCACCCACTAGGCCCAGAACCTAGTAAGCCTTTGTAAGTAAGGGTTAAATGAACAGACCTAAGTCTAACATCCAGGACAGAATCCAACTGAATGCATTTCATACAACTCATGCGTCACCAAGTGAAGTTTTCCAGGCGTTTTGACTTATTTTAATAGAACAGGATGTCCCAAACACACCAGATTACAAGAATGACCTGAGTCACCTGTTAAAATGACAGAGTCCTATCTCTGAAAGAGACACAGAGGAAACTGGTAAAAGTGTCTCATATCATGAGACAGAACCAACAAGAACGAGATAAGACACTGCTCAGTTCCAGACCCACTGAAACCATGTGAAGGAATAAATGTTTCCTATTGTTTTAAACTGCTAAGCTTTGGGGGGATGTTGTGACATAGCCTTAGATAACTAATACAACCATATTTTCCCACACTTTTAGATCTTACCAGTGGTCCCATGTCCACTTCATTTTCATCTCCCAACTGGCAAAAACGTTGTAGTTCTTTTTTCTTAAGCCTGCAGAGGAGGTCCTGTCATGTGACACCTGCTTTCACAGGCTGAGTGCCAGGTCGGAGTGCCATCACAGACGGTCTGGCTTGGGCAAGAAACACCTCTTCAGTCCTGTCGGCCAGCCATGTAAAGACTGGAGTGTTCTGCTGCCTGTGGTTGCCTGAGGTTTGGCTTGAGAGGATGGGGAAAAAACCAAGAGATCTTTCTGGTAGTGATGCAGTGCTGTGTGTTTGTCCACAGTAGGCCAATTCTGGCATCCTCCGTGCCTTCTGAAGCCTAGAAACAGAGGGCAGAGGACTGTAAGTGACTTTAGCTTGGGATGCAGGATCCATTCACTGTGCTTTGCTAAACCCTAGAGTCTGAGCTGAAAATATTACTCTCTATGTTGACCGAGGGGATGCACACCCAATTTTCATCTGGCGAATTGTATGTGTGTGGCATCACCAGTCTCCGGAAGAGTATTCCCTGCATAGTTACCCTCCAAGCTCCAGGAGTACTTTGAAAGGAAGCCAGCACCCTCTCCCTCCTGGATGTCACCTACAAGAACCACATTTGATTTCACTAATGAATTATCAGCCAAAGACTTAAAACAAATGTATGCCTTCACCTTAATGCCAGCTCTTCCCCTGTTCTGCCAGTTTTTGATAGTTCTAGTCCTTTGGCTTACCTCTGAGTGGACACCTGATGACTTGAAAATCTAAAATCCTAAACCCACTGGTGTGATTCTGCTTGTCTAGAAAAGCAAAAGTCCATTTGTGAAACATCCAAAGGAATTAGGAGAATGTGGGCTGTATGTTGCTTGGTGTTGCCTAGCAATATGGTCAGGGCACAGGAATCAGAGAGGGTGAAATTCACACCCACAAGGAAATTATATTATTCATAAACACACACACACACACACACAACACACACACATCTCTGGAAGAATGTTATAAACTGTGAGTACAGAATTATAGCCACAAGCAGAATGATCTTCAGAGCACTGCAGAATAAACATGCTGGCTGATCTGTTATTTATGCTTCCAATGTCTTTGTGAGTATGGGTATCACTTAAAGGAAAAAATATTATACGCCTGTGAACGGAGTTTACAGCTACCTACGTTGACATGAGCCCTGTCAATATAAGTAAAACCCACATTTTAAAATAAATATAATACGTAAAATTGTAGGAAGAAGAAGTCAATACATAGGAACAACTTTAATCTCTTTGCCCAGCCTTATTTCAAAATATTGAAATTCGCTATTAATTTTCAGAAGAGTCAAGTGTGGTGGTACTGAGCAGGCTCATCCAAGGCAGACACTTGACTTCAGACCCTGACTCTGTCTTTTGCCATCTTATTTCCCCGCACCTCATCTGTGAGTTGAAATAATAGTCATAGTTAACTGATGGGGCTGTTGTGAGGATTAAAGTAAGGGAATCCACAAAAGGGACAGAAACAAGGATTGGTGCTCCGGAACCTTGCTACTCCTTGTTACTGTTACTACACAAAAGACCTCTTAATTGCCTTTCAAGAAACAGAGAGGCCATCAGTTAACCCAAGCAATGAGATGGGTAGGGTTTTTGCCTGTAAGAAGGCTGTTCAGGAGTCAGGAAGAGCAGGTTGTAAGCCTCCAGTCCCTCCCCTGCCTGAAAGGAGAGGTGAAAAGTCACCCTACTCCTTCCTCTCGTAGCCCAGTCAGTGGTTCTCCCAAAGTCAGAGAGCCTGCCGGCTCAGTTCTGAGAGTGAGACCCCACTCGCTAAAGGTAACTCCACCCTCAGGCAGCACAGCCCTGCGTCCTCTCAGCCCCAGGCTCCCCTCCCAGAACAGCTTGCTCCTCCGTGCCTCTTCCCAGGTTACCCTCCTGGAGGTCCCCTCACAGGACTTCCCCGTTTCTTCTTTCCAGCTGACTTTGGAACTGCTCTCAGTTTGGGGGAGAGCTGTGACTTCTTGGGAACGCACTGCACTGCTTTCCCAGGCTACGCGGCGGGGAGCGGGCAGGTGCGGGAAGCACGAGGCATCCTCGTCTCTGCCTGAGTTGCCATCTCTAGTTCCCAGCAGTGTTTGTCTCTTAAGACCGAGGTGAAAAAAATCAGAATAGCTAAGCTGCCAGCCCACTCCTGGGGGGAGGTAAGTAACTAGGAGGGCTTCCTGAGCAGCACTGAGTAAAAACAATATGTGTGTCTTACTACGCAGAAGACGCACAGTGAGTGATTTGTGAGAACAAGATGAGTATATGGATTCTATTTATTTGTTCTATACGTGAATCAAGAAACAATTTTTAAAAGATATTTTAATCTGTTCCTAACATCCTTTTCCTTGTATGAATTTGGGGATTTTTTTTCCCTTTGAAATACTTTTGAACAGAATTAAATTGTAAGTCCTAGGGTTACTTATTATGGTTTAGAAAATTCCATTTATTAAGATAAAAATAAATTTTTTTCTTTGGCTTTTAAAAGTCCTTAAAAAAGCAATCAGTTATGTCATCAGAATGTATAATGGAAGGAAGAACCCCATTTGTTTTAGCAACAAAAAGCGTAAATTCCTAGGGTTAAACTTAAGCAGTGAAGAAGACTTTTAAAGGTACTGAGGTTCAAAAAGGAGACTTGGACAAACGGAACGATATCCATGATTTCAGATAATAAGGCATCATAAAAATGTTATTCTCCCTAAATTATCTATACATGTAAAAAAAAAACTTCAACTTTTAAAAAAGAGGTTTTTTTTAAAGAGACAAGTTGATTATAACATTAATATGGAAAAATAAACAAGCAACTGTACGCAGGAAAGTCCTGAAAAAGGAAAGCAAAGGTTGCCTAGCTGTGTTAGATATTAAAAGGTAAAGCTATAATAATTGAAAAGGAATGGTACCTGAACAGGCAGGCAGCTCAACAGAACAAAAATGGACTCAAATACAGAAAGGCATTTAATATATGATAAAATGGCATCTCTTATCAGTGGAGAGAAGTGGTCTGTTCAATAAAAGGTGTTTGAGCAACTGAGTAGCCCTCTGGGAGGGGGAGGGGAATTAAAGTTGGATGCAAACCTTTACATCCTTAACCATGATAAATTCCAGATGGCTTGACATATTTAGAAATAAAGAGAAAGAAAATCTTCAGCATGACAGAGTAAATTGTTGGGTAATTTTTCACATAATCTTGGAGTATGGTAGGCCCTTTGAAATATAGTATAAAATCCAGAATCCATAAAAGAAATTGATTTGTACATAAAATCAAACAATTCTGTAGGCAAAACAGTAAGAACAACAAAAAAATCAGCAAAGTCGAAAGACAAACAACAAACTTTAAAAAATTGCTATTCTTATAAAAGATTAAGGATTCCTACAAGTAAATAAGAAAAAGATTAGCATTTCCAAAAAAGAGACAGTTTGCAGAAAAAGAAATAAATGGAAAAAAGCTCCAGTTAACTCCTAAGATATCATTTTCACCTATCAGACCAGGAAAGATCAAGCAAAATTCACTGTTGGAGAGAGCGTGGTCAAACAGGTACTCCAGTTTCACTTCTGAAGGTTTAAATTGGTACCACACCATCATGGGCAATTCAGCAATACATATCAAAATTATAAAGAGACATATATTTTGATGCAGCAATTTTACTTGCAAGGATTTATCCTGCATATATGCTCAAGCATATGTGAAATAATCTGGCAACTAAGTTATTTAATAGATAATTTTCCATAATAGCAAAAGATTAGAAACAATCTAAATGTATGTCAATAGGAAATTGTAAAACAAATTGTTACATCTATAAATGGAACATTATGTAGCTGTTAAAAAGGATGAGGAAGCTCTTTATGTACTGATGTGAAATGATTTCCACGACCTATTGCAAAGACAAAGGTAAACAAGGAACTGCAGTCATCAGTTATCCCCATAAGAGAGACAACTGGGAAAGAGACTTTCACTGCAATGCCTTTATCTTTGGAAAGGTGAATGCTGTAAGTGACTTAGTTCAGAAATAAATGAATAAAATTGAAAGAAAAAAGCCTTTGCCATTTTGATTGTTTTTATGTCAACAGTTTAGTATTTTATTTGCTATTTTGACAATCCCGCTATAGCAAATAGCTAAAGATCTTTCAGGACTTTCACATTATCTTTGTTTTTGTGGAGTTAGGTTTTAAATATAAATCCTCCAAGCAAGAGGAATGCCAGAGAAAGCCCATTTTTTCCAAATGTGTTATTTTCTACTGGGATATTACCTGATTTCATTCTTCAGGTTAGAACTGGTGGTAGGCGGAATTCTGAGACAGCCCCAAGTTCACAGAAGTTTTGTTGGATCACAGCCATGCTCATTTGTTTACATGTTGTGTGTGCCTACTTTTGTATTGCGACACAGTAGTCTCGACAAGAAGCCACAGGGCCCGAAAAACCTGCAATCTTTACTGTTTGTCCCTTGATTGGAAAAGTTTTGCCCACCCCTGGTTTAAACCATTTTGAGTTAGGTCTCTTATTATTTGCAGCCTAAAATCATTCACACAATTGTAATCTCTTTCATTCTGATGAGAAGTGAAATAACACTAAACCAAGACTGATAATAATGTTGATGCAGGTTTTTTAAGCAAACTTTTACTGAAGTATGGCATACATACCGAAAAGCTTATAAATCATTACCATACAGCTCAGTGAATTTTCACAAAGCAAATACTCATCATCAAACCCCAGAAGCTCCCTTGTCCCCACTTTAGTCACTATATCCCCTCCCCAAAGACACTCACTGTTCAAATGTTTTCAGAAAAGACCTCCATAGTCTTATTTTGACCATTCATGAACTTCATATAAACAGATCTGTAGTATGTCCTTTTGTGTCTGACTTCTTTGCTCAGTGCCTGTGGAATTCCTGTATGTTTTTATAGCAGGAGTTCATTCATTCTCATTGCTATGTAATACTCCACTGTATAAGTATGTCCACTTATTTTATCCATTCTACAGTCAAGGGACATTTGAGTTGTTTCCAATTTTTGACTATTACAAACAGTGCTGCTGTGAATAATGTAATTTTTGGTGCATGTATAGACACACACGTATATAGGTTACATACGTAAGTTATATGTGTATATGTTATATTTATGTGTGTATATAACTTATATATACTGTTGGAGTGGGATTGTGGGTCATTCATTCGGGATTTTTACCATGGATCTGCAAGGACCATTCAATGTCAGTAAGTACACAGTTTCATTCACCAGAAATTGGTCTTGTTCCCATTTCACTTTAATATCAAGATTAATTTAGCAGAGTATCAGGCTCAAAAGACCACACACAACCAGATGAATAACTAAATTAAATGAAAAGTTAAAACAATCACCAACAAGCTGATTCTCCCTCCCAAATCTACACTGTTACTTTAAGGAACTTTCAAGCTGCCTGCTTAGAGACTAATTGTTTGAGCAGCTGAATTCAAATCATTGCTTCCTTTGGAACATCGTCGGTAAGGCTCAGATTACCTTGGCATATTGCTAATTCACAGAGGTGCATTTTCTGGGACATATTCCTCACTTTGAGGAAAAAGTGATGAAAAGTTATAGACAGATGGGGTGGCAGGGAGCCTCAGTAGACTGAGAGCTCCAAAAAAAAAAAAAAGAAAAAGAAAAAAAGAAAGAAAGGTAAAATTACTGCAGTCAAGTTCCAGCAACTTTCCTACTTAGCAACCCTGTTATGAAGCAAAGCCACAGAAAATCAAGCTTTCATTAAAGGGCACTTTCTCCTATTCCGGCCACTCCCAACTGGTACTTCTGCCTTGTTCCCTCTGTCACTCAGGCAACACTCTCCAGGGGTTTGAAAACAGTTTATCTTTTTTTTCTTTAAAGCAGTGCCCAAGGACTGCTTGCATAGCATATCGTCTTAGACATACCAGTACGATTAAGGGAACCGAGAAAGAATCTATAAAGGCAGCAAAGAGAGCGACTATTAGGCATGCACAATTGATTGAAGTTCTCTTTCCACTCATCGGGGTATCACACCAGCAGAGAAGATTCAGCCTGATTATCATCAAGATGAGTCATCGGTAGCCACAGAGAGCTAGGGTCAAACTCAGGGCTCTGTGGTTTGGAGCTGCTGTCCTCCTAGCAAGACAGCAAATTGCAAGTTGAACTATTTTGGCCCCTCCTGTTGGGCCAATTCTAAGATAAGGATTTCTTTATGCAAGAAAGGAAGAGAGACAGAGAGAGAGGAAGAGACTGGGGGGATGGAGGGGTAGGGCAGGGAAGGAGGGAGGGAAGAGAAGGGAGAGGGAGCATTCTTGGCAGGATCCTAGAAATATTTCACCACAAACTTTCCAGACCATATTTTCTATTCCCAGGGGTCTGCTCCAGGTGTGGCGGTCAGGGCACACCTCCGGGGTTGGGGGTGGGGGGGTTCCTCATCTTCCCTTAGAAACCTCAGTATTTGCGAATGGACAGTATCTCCCTCACCTCCGAGGGCCAGTGCCAGCCTGCCAGCTCTGAAGCCCACCACAGCCTCTCTCTAGGACAGTCCATGAAAGTCTGAAGAGAAGAGGAAGGGCAGAAAGATTTTTCCCTCTGTGCCATCCTCACTGAATAACGCACAGGAGAATTGGGCAAAATATTCCAAGCTTTGGACGTAGATTCCCGCAGCCACACGCGGCGGTCCTGTACAGGGCAGTGCTGCCTGATTTTCAGTATTCTCTCCCACCTCAAACCAAAACAATTTCTCCCCTAATTTTCATTTAGAGAATACCACTCCAGAATTCTCCGGGCAGTTTATGGGCCTTTTAGCAATCGGTAGGCTCCCTATCATCCATCAGTCTTTGCTTCTGTTTTGCAAAGCATTTTGCTCTTAGAAGCTCTAAACAGCATCCTATTTTGATGTTTAAAATCTCTCTCTCTCTTTTTTCTTTTTTTTCGCTCCTAAACTTTGGAAGGAGAACTCTTTCCTCCTGGGTTTCCAGGAGCACTTATCCAGAAAGCTTTTGGCCGAAATTTATGACACTGCTGTGAGGTGGCGAAGGTCTGCTGATCCCGTTTTATGGCCGAGGAAGCGGAGATAGGAGTGAACACTTTGCCGAAGGTCAGGCTCCGAGTCGGGGCGCCCTCGGAGGCAGGACTTCGTGTTCCCGGTGGCCTGGCCACGCTCAGCTGCCTCGCCTCTGTTTGAACTGCCTTAAAAATAGGACTTTCAAGAATTCCGATGGGGAGATTGAGACTCTGCAGTGCTTTATTTGTTAATGGTGACTTGGTAACTGCATGTATTAATGTTATTCATTGACTTACAGCCAAAAGCCATTCATTTACTAGCTCTTCAGTCTAGAGGGACTGTTTCCCCGGTTTGTCACTGATTGTAACACTTCCCTGTAAGGATCTGAGAGTCCACTTACATCAGACACCAGAGCCAAAGTGTGAGTTGTTGTCCTTCTGGCCTCTATGAGAACGTATCATGATCCCATACGCAGCCCTTACCGCGGCCTCAGTTTCCCGCCTGGTAGGCCACCCTCCAGCCACCCAGGGGCTTCTAAAAGTGAATCACCCACTGGTTCCAGAACGCTCACTCCCCTGCCTTCTGGTCTCTCTGACCCCCCTCTTCAGTCCACACCTCTATCCTTCAAAATCTCTATATCTTCAAGTTTCATCTTAATCACCTCCCGAAGAAGGCACTTGTTTTCCCACCAACCCTGGGTCTCTTCCTTTGAAGCTCCTATCTGATGCCATCTTCTTTTACAATCAAATTTACTGGCCTTCTTCCCCTTATGTGTCGATTATAAACTACTTAGCTTTACTCATTCTTGCCTGCTCTGGGAGGGAAGACCCAGTTCTGCTCAGAGCGCAGGGAACTGCTTCCTGCAGGGGTGGGCAAACATCTTCAGCAACAGACCAGTTAGTCAATGGTGTCGGCTCTGCCCACCATCCACAGTCGCTATCAGTTCTTTTTGCTTTCTTTGTTACCCTTTAAAAATTAAAAAACAAACAAACAAACAAAAAACTGTCTGTAGCTCTCAGATCAGCTAGGGGCTGGATTGGGCTCTCTGGCCATGGTCTGCCTGACCTCCTGGCTCAGTAAGGATTTCTTGGATTGCCATCGATGGTCTTGAATTATGTTGGAAACTACTTATTTTGTATTTCCGGAAATTTTAGCACAATCGATGACTTTTGCACTGGTTAAAAATAACAGTATTTGGTTTTTTGCTTGTTTGTTTTTTAAAATAACAGTATTTGTAATGAGAATGTTTTCTTCCATTTTTCTAATATTGTGAAAGATTAAAGTGAAAGATAAGTTGTGCCACAAAACCCAGATACACTTTTATACTCTTAACTTCTTGTACTTCTAAAAGAAACTTCATACGATAGTATCTGTATCTATTTTATTTTAAAAGTCCAAACAGTCAAAACATGGGTGGGACCCAGCACTCATGTACGTGGAAGTATAAATTTGCAAAAATCCATGCGTGCAGCTTTTTTGCGTCATTAAAGGGCCAAATTCCATCCCCTTTACAAAGATTCTGCCAGAGCTACTGAGGCCTCTTGGCTCTTTTAGGAAGTGGGATCATAAAACTAGCTCGGCAGCGCTGATAGGGTTGTTTTTTTACAGTGTTGCAAAATGTTTCATTTGTCCTGTCAATGATTGCTCTGAAGCAGGATCTTGGACAAGTTAATATTTATAATACCTGAAACTAGAAAGAGGGACAAAGAAATGGTCCCTTTCAAGTCTCACTGACCTGGTTTCCGGATTAGCGCCCTCACAATGCCATCCTCACCACCTCCCTGGCCCCAGGAAGACTGCGCAGTAACAAGCATTAAATGTTTAGTCATTTCCTGCATCACGTTTGTCAGACATCATGGCCTTCCCCTATTAACGTATCTAACCGAGTTAGAGTTCAAACAGCCGGTTTCCATATCAGCAGTTGTTTGGTTTAATATCTTTCCAACAAAGGTGCCATAGGGAGCTTCTCAGAAAACCTCCTGTTAATGCCGCAGCCTGTCTTCCTGAGGAGATCCAGCTGAGAACAGCGCCGACTCCGTGCTGCTGATAATTTCCCGGTGTGTGATTTGTGAAAACTTTTGCAGATGAAATTGTCTTAAAGATGTCACATCGGAAAACCTCTGAACCTCACTGAAATTTAATTGGAGGCTGAAGGGCCTGTCTTGATTTTACTGGTCTGCTGAAGGTTTACTCTGTCTTGGGAGAGCACACATCCCCGATAATGGAAGGTTGCTCTGCTTATGGAAAAGAAAGATGGGCGGAAGTGTGATAATCCCAGCCTTGAAGACAGCATTAATTACAGCCTGTTGACCTCTCCCTTTTGACAGGGAAGCCGTAGTGTTTTCAAAGAGACAGTTCCGTTAGCTACGTGACCAATTAAGGAAGCAGGAAACAGCAAGAAGGAAGGTATAAAATGATCTTGTAAAAATACTTTTCAAAATTAGAGCTACTTAACACATAATAAGAATATTTGGTTTAAAGCAGTAGAGAATTTTGTTTCAAAAATAACCTCCTGTAAAAGTAAGGCTGATCTATGGTAAACTGTTAAGATATCTTTGTCTCATTAAAACAGCGGGCTTTCATGCTGGAAATAGCCATAATTTTTTGTAAAATGTTGACTTATATTTTACGTTTAGAAAATGCCATTTCCTACATCTGAAATGGCTTTTGAAGATGGAAAATGCAACAAAGTAAAATTGTGCTGAATTCATTGTACTCTCTAAACTCTGAACAACCCTGGTGAATCACTATTTCCTATCCTATTTTTTAACTTTTTGCCATGTATTTGTTTCCTATGTTTTGGAAGTAGGTCAGAAGAAACTATGGAAAATATATTGTCTCTTTGGGTTTTAATTCCTAGCCGGGATGTGTCTGGATTCAGAGTCTCCTAGGTTGAATTATCTTGTCATTTAGTTAGGTCAAAAATCATCAAATATTGGTGATTTCATAAGTGGCTGCTGACGACCACTTGGCTATTTCTCCCTTTTTTATTCCTGTGATACTGTTTCTGACCCCTGTTGATCGGCAGTTGGTAAATGAGAGGTGCAGGATGAAAACTTATTCTTGCATAATAGACAGGATAACAGATAGCAATCAATTAGAGATAACAGACAAAATAATAATAGATACATACAGCATTGCAAATCAACTATATATTTCAATAAAAGTGAGAAAAATTAATTAGAAAAATGTTTTAAAATAAAAACTAATATATAGATGTGACAGATAGTAAGAATAGATCACAGATAGAAAATAATACACGACAGACAGAATTTCTGGCTCCAAGCATTGTGTATCTACGGCAGAGTATGTTACCTCTTCCAATCATTTGGAAGAAACAATACAAACTTTCTCTTTTTCAGAGTAAACAAACCCCCTGTTACAAGCATTCCTTTATCCTGCTCCAAGTCAGGGATTTCAAAGTCCTCCACTCCTTTCCTCTATTAGCTGATCATAGTGACCATCATAGTTAACATTTACTGAATACCTATTAAGTGCCAGGGTGTCTAATAAAGTCTGTACATTTTCTCATTTTCTCCTCAAAAGAACCCTATGGGGTATTAGTATTATAATCCCCGTTTCACAGATGAAACTCTTGGGAGAGCATGACAGCTCTGGTTGCTGAGCCTACGCTGTATTTGATTAAGTGGAGAGAGGACCTGAGAGATGGAGAAAAGGCTAAGCAGTCAGCCTGCATATCCTTAGGTCACGTACACACGGCCTTGGTGTCAAAATCTGGGAATCTCTATTGATGTGGTTTGCTACCATTCCTGTGATCCCTGAATTTAAGCTTCAAAATCTTACCCTGTGGCACGGTGATCTGACACCGGGACTTAACCTCTCAGTGCGCCATTATCCTTATCTGTAAAATAACATAAAATTATCTGCCTCAGAGAGGCACTGAGATGTCCACTGATATTTGAAGTTCAGAGGAAGATGAATACATAGCACAACCTATTCCATATCTAGAGAGAGTCACTCTTTGCTTATTTTGCTTTCCTAATAATTGCTATTTCTTATCTGTAAGTCTGTGACAACAGATGGACAAGGAAAAAACTTAGATTCCATAGAAAACATTCCGATAGATTTCAGTCTTACAGATTTATAGTTTCTTTTCCCAAACTGTACTGTTCATCAAAAATAACAAAAATCTTTTGAATCTGAGATGCATCTTGCAAGGATGGAGAATTTCAGTAATTTACAGCCCCGTACGTCCTCCACACTCTGTTACAAAGACTAGGAGAGAAAAAACAGACGGAATTACTGCGACTCTCCAAAGAGCATATGTCCATGGAAACCTTGCTACAAAAGCTAATCAGCCACATGAAAATGATTGACTTTTCTGAAGATTGCACATGAGTCAACAGCACAATGAGACAATGTTGTTTTAATTCTCCAGGTTGCAGAATTGTCCAAAGAAAAGAGAGCTGATTTTTTTTTAATGATCGCTAAAGACATCTTTGAAGACAGTTGAATCTGGGTTGGCAAGGCAAAAAGTCAAACAGCAGATCAAAACAAGAGAAGAAAACTGTGACTAAAATAAAAGTGATGATATGTTCGTGCAATTGAAACAGTCAAGTCTGTGTAAATGAATTCAAGAATTTGCTCTGAAAGGTGCTGGTAATTTCTCACCAGTTGTTGGGTAGACCAAATAGTTTAAAACAAACACTCTGTAGGGGCTGAATTAAGACCCTGGTTTTAGAAACCCCCTATTAGTCAGGCAGATGGTGATAATAATGATCACAAAGTAATGATTCCAGACACGGCTAAATCAAGCTGCCCTAACCATCTTCCCATTCTCTGCCTACTTCCTGTGTCTCAGCCTCACCTCCAGACACACCCATGGTCCTGTCATTTCACAGAGCTTTCTTTCAACTAGGAACGAGATGCTTTAAGGAACACAGCTGTCAAAAAGGCACACACGAAGAGAGAAGAAACTCTGGGGAGACAGGACACAAGGATCAACCTCTGTTCCTAAAATTCCACGACCACTTGCCTCGTTCACCTATACACCTCAGCTCTAATTCAGAGAAGCACTTTCCATGAAGACATTTTATTACAATGATTTAAACACGTTTTTTTCCCCCCAAATCAGCTAACTCACTTTTCTTCAGATTAGCTA